CCTCCTGCGCGCCTTCTTTTTTTTGCTCTACATGCCGCCTCCTGTTGAAGCTCGGATCCTGAGCTCTGCGGTTCTCTGCACGATACGGATGAGTTCGTTGCTGCGTTGTTTTGGCCACTGCATCTCGTCTTCGTTTCCTCTGCATCGCTCGAACTCTTGCTTTTGTTGCGCCTCTGGATCGGTTCACTTCTGTTCGGACTTTCTCGGTTGCTTCTACAAACGGATCACGCTGCGCGAATACACCTTGGTACCCAGAATACATGGGCATTCCAAATGATTCTTTCATCGCTTGTTGCCGATGAGGACAGCTCTTTGCCAACGCTGCAATGGCTTTCCGCCATCCTTTCTTCTCTGCTATCACGGGTATGTTGTACGGTCCTTTCGCGAAAGTGTTTCTTTTATATCTTCACTTTTTCGTCGGAATTCCACAAAGTTATCGCTTTTGCCAACTCCTCCACTTTCCAGAACGGAATTTTGGCAACAGCATCTGGTAGTAATGCGTCTACCACGCTCCCCAGTGTGATTCTATTGCGACACGCTGCTGCCGTACATTCGCGGCTTTTCCCCTTGATCATTTCTTCTACGTTCAGTGCACTGCGGGGTCCTTGTCCCCGTTCAAATACCACTTGAGCGACTGCTCTGGGTCTGAAATTGTATCTGTGCACTTTTGTTTCTCGCGTCTTTTTTTTTTTTTTCGGGACTCTTTCCTAATTTCAAGGGTCTATGAGCCCTTTTCCTCCGTGATGCACCTAGCAGATATTCCCCTTCTACCACTTCCTTGGGAATTTTCCGCAGGTGGTCCAACTGCACTTTGAACGCTTGTTCTCTCCCTCCTATCAGCTGTACTGTGGCATTATTGTTCGTCATCGCCAAGATGCGGTATGGTCCCACGAATTTATGGCTAAACTTGGGGTGCCGGGCCTTTCTGACCTCTGTCGGCATGTGCACTAGTACCCGTTCTCCTATCCGAAACGGACTAACTTGCACGTGGTTACGCGCATCATAATACTGCTTTGCTTGCGTTTCCATTGCTTGCACCATTTGCGCTCTCCAGAGTCGAGATTTCTCTAGCGCGTTGGTGCCTAATAGCAATGGTTCACCAGTCCCATCCTCTGCTTTTACAAACATCTCTACGGGTCTTTCCTCTCGGCCCCATCTTGCTCTCAGCTTTATGCTATCTCGTAATTTCATTTGACGCCCTGACGCGTCTCTCACTATTTCGTTCCCAATGTCCCATAACTTCCTGGTTAGGTCCTGCCCCGTGGCGTTCTCGATGGCCTGAAGGGCCCTGGGTTTTATCAGTGACACCATGGCTCCGCTATCTATTAGTGCCGCCAACGGCACTTCCTCACAGGACACTTTCACCACCAATTTTCTACCAACTAACATATTTTCGGGACTAGGCTGATTATCTTCCGCCACATTCTCCATCTTTAACACAATTGGGGAGGCACTTATGACTCCCTTCTTCCCTATAGAGACGGCTAGTCGGTGTACCGACGCCGTTGGACAAACCCGTGCCATGTGCCCCTTACCTCCGCACACGAAGCACATGATATCCTTCCCCCTCGGCACTGTTGCCGAATCTTTATGTGGTTTCACTACTGGTTTATCATTCCTGTGTCCACTGAAGTCGAATCCTAGACTCCTACCAACTCTCTCATATCTTGAAGCGAGGCCTTTTACAGAGCTGTTGCGCTCTTTCGCCCCTGCCTTACCACTGCCTCGCCACGCCTTATTCTTTGGGGTTACGGCTCCCCGGTTATCATCCAGGCTAGGCTCCTTCTAGCCCTCTCATATTCTAAAGCCACATCCTTCACTTTGCTATACAGTTTACCCTCCTTGGCCTCGGATATGGCTGCTAAAAGGCGTGTTGCGAGCTCTCCGTCACATTTTAACGCCTGTATAACTACCCCGCATTTCTTCTCATCTATCACGTTTGGGTCTACGTACATGGTATTCGGGTGCACAGCCGCTACTTGTCCACCGGGGCAAAGAATTCTACCAGAGGCTCTCCATTACGCCACTCTGTTTTACTTAACTCATTCTGCAACATCAACCTGGTAACTTGGGACGTATCTACCAGCGCCTTTTTTAATGCAGATACTACTTGTGCGAAAGTCCTCTCTTCTCGGATGTGTACGGGGGTCCCCAGGAATGCATCCAGTGCTAATCCTGTTAAGTAGGACCGCAAGTACCGTACTTTCGTTCCATCCGATTCGTACCCATAACGAAGACTGAATTCCTCAATGAAATCTTGGAATTTGGCCTCAGTCCTGTTCCCCTTCCTAGAGAAATTCTCTAAAGCCAGAAGCTGTGTCTGCAACCGCTGCGTATACCGCAGCAGGAGTTGCTCATACGCAGTGCTCACACCCTCGGCATTGCTTTGTTCAGCTATGCCGGTAGCACTTGCGCCTAAAGGCATGTCACTCGAAAGCAAAGACTCACGCGAGGTGACGTGCCTGTTGAGCCTGTCGTCCCGATACGACTGGACGCCGGTTGTTCGGGCTGCTTCTTCTTGGCTGCTGTTGGTTTCTCCGTGCTTCGTCCTGCAACTCAATACTGTTAGTCAAATGCAGCTTATCCCCACTTCTAAAAGTTTTCTCACCTATTTTTGGCTGATCAGCGCCCGTATCGTTGCCTCTTTCGGGGTCTTCTCCCAGCAATTTTTATGCGTCTTTTCCGTGCAGCGCTAGAGCGCTGCAACAGGCAGCA